CATATATTTTTCGACGCACACAATTTTATTTTATTTTTACTTGCTTCGATCGCGCTTGAAATATAAGATACCCGAGCATTGTGTCAATGTTGGTTTCTTGTGTTTTCCTTTCGTAAATACCTCGTACTGCGACATTTGCTTTGCAAATTTTACTTCCCCGAGCACTGGAAAAATGCCTTTTGGAAAGCAAACACTTCCGCTTTAAAACATCGTTGAAATTCCGTCGTGTGTAAAAATGAAAAAAAAGGAATTTTGCGTGCGTCTGGTCCACATTTCATTTTCATCATCCGGGTATATTTAAATACAAATCAGATTTGGCAAACTTTCGCCATTTCGAGCCAGCGGTGGCTCGTCGATCGTACACGCTGCGGTTGTTCTCCACATGCACGATTAATGCTGTGACTAATAGTAATGTGTGTGTCCCTGAAACGTGTATGAACGGTTTTTTGCTCGTGCAACGTTTTAGAAGATCAAGTTGAACAAAAAACTTTTTTTTCTCTTTAAAAATATTAGTATAATGCATTTTTTTTCCAAACAAATTTCATCCATTCTGTGTGCTGTAAGCATATTATCAAAAAGGAATTACACCTACCTTTGAATATTTCTTGCATACATACTGAAGCACAACGATTTTATAAACTTTCAAATACTTTGAAGGAAATATTTTATTTTTCTGGCATTTTATTCATGAATGTTTGTTGTGAAGTATTTAAAATTAAATATTAAAATTCTTAAACAATTTTTTTTTCTAAATAATTTTTTTATTTTAGATTGCAATGCTTTGTTTCTGCTGGAAAAGTTTTTCGATATACTCCATGTTGAAAATAGTGCATCAAACATAATTTTTGGCACGAATAATAAACATCACACACATTTAGCAACAAAAATGTAAAAAGTTACCTGTGCCCAAGTGTGCTTACATACGATTATAAAGTTAGTTATTGAAAGTGCCATTAATAGTTAAACCGAAACAAATGAAAAGACATGGTCCAACCTCCCTGAGATCGAAACGGTCGGGGCTATTGTTTTTGCTCGCGTACGCTCGAATCACTTAAACTTTGTCCGAACTTTTTTTTTGTTTCATCACAAAGGATAAACTCGCGCCTCGACGGCAGCAAGGGGAGTTGATTAGATTGCCGAGCTTGCCCATCAGCCATAATAGACTCCCTTGTTTTGGGCTGATTGTTTTTCTCATCTCGTGCAAAAAGCAGTCGAACGATTTTAATAGAAGTAACACCGAAGACCCCGTTTTTGCTTGACAGTATCTACGGAAAGGTCATTGATTTTTCATAGCAAAGTAACGGTTGGAAAAGTCGATGTATTTACGTACTTGAGTCGAATTAATTTAATTCAAGTACGAATAAACATTAGACGAAAAAGTATTGGGCTCTGTATTAACGCGGTATAATACATCTGGGCACGGGATCCCGGAGGGTTGCTCCTTATCGATCAAACTCTCTGCGGAGAATGACGCACGTAAAGGCGATACCCGCACGTTATGGCCGTTAGAAACTAAGTATCGCCTCTCTCGCGTAACCTGATCATTACGAACGCCCATCTTTGAGTTTTTTTGTAGGATAATGATTTTTTTTATTTTTTTTTATTGGGTTTGCAAATTTGTTACCTATCGATGGGTACTCGAAGGCCAACGTAACGTTACTTTCTGGGAGCCCTCTTGCATCATTTTAACCCTGCAATTACGGTAATACATTTAGTTAACAGTGTGAGAGAGGTATCGATTTTTCGAAAATCCCAAGCGGTGACTCTATAGCCAGTGCCAACAACTTCGAGTTCCGTTTCGTCCATTTGGATTGGAATTGTGCAGCTAATAAAGCGGCTGTGCTCTTCGACTCGATTCAATCGGTAGGCCTAGTTTTAAGGGAACGAAATTGACATTTCTGCAAGAGTGATCGGTCGTTCGTGAAGTTTATCGCTCCGTGTTGTCTTGCGGGTAAAGCTGTAGTTTTTAAAACGCGTTATTACAGCTCACAGCAAACGTACAGCCTAAACATGATTCTGATAAAATTAGCGTTGCTCATTATCTCGTGTAAACAAGTGGGGAGGGGGAGTCTAAAACAATTGTGTTAAAAAACTACTGGCTCTCGTGATTGTCGTAAATTAACAATCATTATTGGTTAAAAAAAAGCTCAGGGTTGACATTTGGTACTTATTTGTTGTTGGCGATTTGAAAATTAGGTTGGAAGAGAGAGAGCAAAAAAACTTTTATTTACATACTCGTATTATACGAGCCGAACGAGCTTCATATGATTCTCAAGAAGAGTGCATTATACAGAATTGTACACACGAGAAGAGGAGCGATGGACGAACAGATGGTAGATGCGAGAAATGACATGGCCAAAGACCCTTATCAGTTGTGTGTATGTGCGTGCAGTGTGTTTTTCTCTCATCTTCTTTGCCATTAAGAATTTTTTCGCTAAATTCTCGTTGTTACAAAGTGAAAATTAAATTGGCTTTTCATTGTATCTCAAAGCCTCAAGTTCATATTTAACATGATATTTGGAAAATGGTTATCGTGTGTTACACAATTGTTCACTTGTGGTTGATAAAACGTGTACTTCAAAACTTCGAGATAAAAGTACCGAAGTTTTCATTTTCCGAGTACAAATTCACTCGTAATGCATATTTTCAACGATAGGGAAATAGTAGAGCTTCTTATCGCGAATGAACATTGACAAAATTTTTTTTTTTTTTTTTTTATTCAGATAAAATCCCCATCTTTTTACTTTCGTGCTTGTTCCTAATTAAACTATTCACTTAACTGAATTTATAAGTAAAAAAAAAAATTAACATCGCGTTGTGTTAATAGCTTATCATTTGTCGATTAAATAGAATTGTGTATAAATATGACGGAGGATTACAAAACCTAAACTGAATTTACGGTTTGAACAATCAGTACCTCAGTATCCGCAACTTTTAAGTACGTGTACCTATTACTAAATGTGCCGCAGTAAACTCAATTGAAGGGAAGCAAATATCGCTCTGCACATACTTGCACACGTATATTACATTCGAACGACGTCTCTGATTCCAATTCTTTCTATATAATACTGCGATGAATCGCATGTGAAAGAACCAATATTGACTCAATAACTGTAATCCTCTTGTTTACAAAGAAATTATTTCTCTATTTGATTTGTCGTAAGCAATAAAAACCACTGTTTATAAATATTTTCATCAACATTTTTTGGAACGCCACACGTTCGACCGCGTGAGAACATAATTTAAATAAAGTAATTATTTATTGAGGCTTACCAATTTCGATAATGAATTTATTGAATTTTTCTATATTTTCAAAAACACATCATTAATTATTTTTCTCGGATTACAAACGTTGATAATACATTGAAACTCAAACAATAGAGCCATCGAAAAGAAAATGCAGTTTTTTTAAAATTAATATATCTTTCTAAATTTCACAAGTATCTTTGACCTAATCCTATACAGCTAACGGAAAAGCAATAAATTTCGGCATCAGTTCTTCCTACTTGAAATTCGTTACCGTTCATTTAGTATGCACATATTTTTCGAAATAATGAGTTTCTACAAGCCTTAGATTACCCGTTACCAGAGTGAAAATATATAAAAGTATACTTTATTTACCGTACCCGCAACTATAGGAACAAATATTTTTGTGATTCATCAGGCATGCCGGAAGATAAGCGCCGAACGAAAAATGATGGTTTTATAATTGCTTTTTCAGAGCCGACGTAAATTAACGAAAACTGCGATAAGCCACAAGTATTGAATGAACGTAAATACACTTGATCTTTGTGTTAATTGTTTAAACGAGTAGGGATACCGTAAATGTCTACCAAAAACGATGATTTCCTCTGAAAAAAACTTAGGAGCACTTCCATATGCTCCGCTTCGTTTCGAAGCGTTCATCAAACGAAGCTACGCTGGCAGTAAGCGTTCAGCCATTTTTTTTTCTTCTTTTCATCGTGCCCGTTTCTCTTCGATTGCTAGCCATTTGGCGTCTCTTACCACGCTTTAATAATTAATCCAAACGAAAATCAACTTTGAACAAACGAATCAACAAACCAGCAGAATTGTAGTTGAGAAACAGCGCAGAGGGAGATAAAGAGGGATAAAAAAGGAGTCAATGATGGCGGCTACTGCTGATGTGGCTCACGAGAGAAGCAGGAACATGAGGGAGAGACAGCTCTCTCTCTCGGCGTTTTACTTTTATTACAATACCTATATATATTATATGCGGTATTGCGGTATATTATATACCTATATATAGTATATGCGGTGTACGTGTTGTCGAGACTCGAGCGCGGCTTTTGCTTTCTGCAGCGCTGTACTTACGTTGTAAACCGATGCGTTTATGGCATTTGGCCTGTCGAGCCGAATTTGTCGTCAAGCGGAATCGAAGAACGGCTTTTTTGCAGTTTCCTTTAGCCATCGGGTGGTCAGCTGATTAGGTCGGTAAAGTAGGAAACTGGATGTGCTCACAAGGTAAGGGGTAAATGGAAGGGATTCGGAAAAAGTAATACCATGAGTCGTCGTTAGATGGCAGGAAAAGGTCGGTTCTCGGTGTTTTTTAAATTGCTCCGAATTTTTTAGTTTATCGCACACTCGAAGTGAAAGTGCTTGCAACGCAATAAGTGTATCTGCGTATGTATTTGTAAGGGAAGACGGGGGAGTGGTCTGTTATTTAATCAGCTGTTATTATTTTTAAGAAAAAAAAAATCTCGTTTCCCAAGATTTTAATTCGAATGCTGCGAAATGAAGTTTTCAAGTAAAGACTGATATATATGGCATTTGATTCGTATACTTATTTCTTTGAATCTATTATCATGATTTTATTAAAATGAAAAACATCGAACATCATAGTATGCTATGTACGCTATGCAAATATTCTGACAAACATTTTTTGAGATTTATTTTTCTGTGGCACGTAGATGACTTTGTTTTTCCATTTTATTCGATAACTTGAATTTTTTTTAATTAATTTACGATCTTGTTTGTTGCAGTGCGTGGACTTTGTAAAAGCCGGTGCCGAACAAGGCCTCACGCCGTCTGACGTTGTCCTCGTGGCCGACATCACGTTCTCATGCGTCGCAGATCCTCAGGCTGCCAAAGAGGTAAGCAGTCAACAATATAAATTTTAACAAATGTATTGAGCTCGATTTTAAAATTAACTATTGAAAATTTGTTTTATTCATCACCTTGCAGATGGTGTTTGGCAACTGTGGTGTATTAACGGAGATATCCACTGGCAAGGGTTACATCGAAATGACTGGGATCGACGCCGAGACGTCGCACGACATCGCCGAGGCCATCACGGCCAAGGGTGCGCGCTACCTCGAGGCCCAAGTCCAAGGCAGCAAAGTGCAAGCAGAGGAAGGTAGCCTTGTGATCCTCGCGGCTGGCGATCGCGAGTTGTTTGACGATTGCAAGAGCTGCTTTGGCGCGATGGGCAAGAACAGCTTTTTCCTGGGCGAGGTTGGCAACGCCTCCAAGATGAACCTAGTGTTACAATTGATGGCTGGGGTGACGCTGGCTGGGCTGGCCGAAAGCATGGCTCTCGCTGATCGAGCAGGATTGCAGCAAAAGGACGTGCTAGAGATACTTGAGCTTACGTCGCTCGCTTGTCCAGCGATACTGGAAAAGGGCAGAGGTAGTCAGACAAATTTATATTTCCCAATGATGAGAATTTACTTTTGAAAATTGAAATTTCGTTTCGATGAATTGTCTAGAGGTATTCAATCATTAAAAAAAAAACTTTCTTGCTTTCAGTGATAGTCGAGGGCGGCTTCCAAACACATCAGCCGCTTCAGCACATGCAGAAAGATCTGCGTCTGTCGCTAAGTATGAGCGATCAATTGGAGCAGCCCATACCATTGGCAGCAGCTGCCAATGAGATCTACAAGCATGCGAGACGTCTCGGTTATGGTGAGCATGACGCCTCGGCCGTTTATATTCGTGCCAGGTTTTAGTCGACAGAATAAGCTGTATGACAGATAAACATGCAAAAAACACCACAGCCGATCAAGAACAAATAAGGTACAAGAAGGGCTTTCGAGATACCACCCGCCTTCTTGAAGATGATTGCAATACTACTTATCAGCTGTGTAAAAGAGACCCTGGTGTATACAATTTTTATCCCCAGGGAAACATAATTAGATGAGGATAGTGTAAGAGATAGAGAAAGAAAAGTGTGCTAAGACAGGGGTAGAAAAAGTAATTAAATAAACTGTAAATTTTCTGGATGGTCTTCGTGTACGAGAGTAAGGTATGGTGTATTGATTGTGAAGAGATGTTGTTTTGCGAGTATTCGTATAATTTTGTAAATAATTTGATGGATAAACCATTGAATTATGAAGTTTATTTCTCCAAGGCAAAGATTGTTATCACGAGTGAACACGAGAATTTACAGTTGACAATGATTTAAAATTTTTTCTTAACCCTTTTTAGAGTTTATCATTATCATTAAATATAAAAAGCACAGTCATAAATTCTTTCAAGGAATTTGTCTGAAAAAAATTGTAATACATGTAAGTACGTTCACAAAGAAAGAAAATGCGGGTGGCATTTTATTACTCTAATTTAAATTAAAATGAAATAAATGAGTAATTTTTTATAGTGTCAAAAAAATCTATTCGAACGCCTTATTTTTTTTTTTCATTTATAAATACAGATATATATGATTATCGTTAGTGACTGAGAGAAAACAAATAGAAACACTCGACTTGTTTTATTTAAATTGAATTTCGTATTTTTGAAAGTATAGGTTCATTGCAATACATTAGCACATTTATATAGCATGTAATTAAGGAGATTTTTATAATTTTAAAGAAATTTTTCCTTTTCCTTGCATGCTGTCATTACTTTTATGGACTAATTCATAGCAAATTCTCTTTCATGTACTTCATTTTACTCACGTCGATCAGGTGTCGTAAATCTTACGTTAGTGGATCTCAACGAAATGAATCAGATACACGTAATTATTTTCGTAAAAAAGTATTACAAAAAAAATGACTCGTTGGGTTTGATTAGCTGATAAATGTAATATCCATCATCATCTGCTGCATAGTAAACTATTAAGTTTAAGTGCCTTAATAAATATCTAGGAAAAAGATTTTTCATAAATTGGTATTTACTTTACCATCCATGCCTTTTTCCTTATTTTAATCAACCATTGATAAAACATGTATCAAAAGCCAAAGGCACAAATAAAACTTTAAATCATGTGAGAGAACGTTATGTGTTTTAATTTTTATCACTTTATTGAACCTATCGCTTTACTCGAAATTATCTAAACACAAGATACAACCGACGAGTCAAATGAACATCATGAAATACGATAGCATGTGTATGGAACCATCAGAAATTCGAAACGTCATATCGTTAATTGTATATTCGCATAAGGTCACAGTTAAGCTACTTGATGCAAATTTTAACATACATTTTTTTTTATAACCATTTTTATACATCCTATGAGTTTTATTAAATTAGTGAACTACACCAAAATCATATTGAAAAACGTATGTTTATGAGAAAATATTTTAAAACACTGACTTCTATATTATAGTTCAGAAAAATTTATACATTACACAATTCATTTTACTATTTTAAAAATGAAAGTGAATTTTTGTTACCTGACGATTCTAATTAAGGTTTCGTTAAAGTTTTTTACACCATCAAAATTATCACAGAGATTCTTTAGTTATTAAAGCGATAAACTTTTTTTTTTAACTTCAACTACAGCTTATAAAAATAAATATTCTGAGATCGAAATAAGCTCAAATGAAGTTGGAATATATTATTAAAGAAAGAGCGTGAAAAAGATGTGTAATAATATCAAAATGATATATGTATATGAAAAATATTGCGATTGTTCTGAGAAATAAAAGAATATTATAAAAACATTATTAATGTTGGAAGCTTTTATTACACTTCTAGATTAAAATAAAACTCAAAGAACTTGCTTTTAAAAAGTTTCATCTCTGTCAATATTTAAACATTTCAAAACAATTCTGAAATTATCGCAAGTAAGAGTAATAATGTATTTTGCGAATCAAAGAACGGTATTTTAAACAACATGCGCTGACATTCTACCTGTGCAATAAACATGAACCTATTTCAAAAGCAAGTTCCATTGTTGTACAACTTAACAGCGGAACCTCTCTAGGCAGACCATAAAAATACTTATCAGGTACTCAAAAAGAGAAAGGAAAAAAATGTGATGTGAGACCAGAGTTGAAGGTGCTTGTATCCATAGATTTACTGAGCGCTTGATTTTTCGCCTTTTTATTTGCATTATTAATTTTTTCGCTTCTCCACAAATGAGTGTACGATTTATATATTGTAGTATTTGAATTCGAATGATACTCTATATTATGGAAAGCTCGAGTATAATTGCCATTAAGAAGTTTTTTTTTTTCAGAAAAATGCCAATTTTCTTTTGTTCACTTGTGGATGATATTTAAACATTTAAATAAGCAAACATATCTAAAGTAAAGAGACCCATTGTGTATTAATTTTTCTCATAATTATTATTTTAAGTTTTTAGAAAGTCTGAAGACATTGCAAATTAAAAATTTGAATGTTACTAATAAAATGTTAGAACACTTTTATTCGTCTTTTGTATTTTGCAACAAATAACCCTTTACGTGTTCCTATTGTGAAAAAATATTCGTCCTTCAACAGATCATCCAAGCAAATTAATAAACATTTGAACGGGTTCATAACTAATGTTTTCAATTATTGAATGAAAACAATAATACAAGGTGAAAAACTAACGAAAGACTTAAGTATACTAAAAAAGTGTTTTGCACATGTACGGACCTTAACGTTGATTTGTTGATATACAGGAGCGCGCTCGGACAATGCAAGGAACACGCGTTCGTTTTGAAAAGTACGGTCGCTCGAAGATTAAGTGAACGAACCTGTATGATTATTATTAGAAAAATTTAAGTGTATAGGCTTGAGTACACATTTGTACTTAATGTGCCTGCATAACTCTACGCTTTAGCTTTAGAACTCATAAGTTGGCGGAAAATCAATAAACGAACTGTGAAAATTCGAATTGAAAGGGAATTAAAAAACCAAAAGTAGCGTAAGTATTCGAGCTTGGATATGAATATTGGAAAAACCAACGGCGCAATGAAAAATTTGGAACCGAAACTTTGAAAAGTTTAATTAAATTTATAGGTGCAAACAATACAACTGTAGACGTTCCATACCACACCACCTTTCGTCGATGACACCTGTGGCTTCAGGTAATGTATAGTAGGTATGTTTGCGAGAGAGAGAGAAGGTAAGTACGGTATGGTAGCAGCGAGTGAGCGAGAAAAAGAAAGACGACGTTGACGATGTTGTCGTCGTCGGCCAGACAGTAACAGCTGAGCGTTGAGCTGAGCGCTTATGCGATATATACTTTAGTTCCGCCGCGACTCTCCTCGTGTTTATATCGATAGCAAATCGGCGGATACGAATACATATATACACGACTCTTCCGCGGCCGAGTGCGAATGTGAAAGAGAGAGAGAGAGGTGCTTATATACCAATTTGGATGCGTGTGTCGGTCGCACGCCTGCCTAGTTTACTTACTATTTATTATAATAAATCGTCTATTTAACCGTCGGCATCCCTACAAAACATACCTCGTCTAGTTTCCTTTCGCAAAGTTACCTGTGCAAAGTGCTAAATACAATAACATTTATAACCACGATGTATCAGTGAGTGATTGTGTACCTGTCTATTGCGTACTTGGCTTTTTTGAATTTGCTCAAAACAAGTAATCGAACGTCATTACGGCGACTGTCCTGTACTGCGTGTGTAACAAGTATACACACATATGTATATATATGGTCACAGTGTAATACGCAACACACCTAGGCGCATGCGTTCTCTTCATTGGTGATTGGTGGTGGTGGTAGTTTGTCTACTGCTGCATAGTATCTCTGTCTCTCTTGCACTTGAGACAAGAGTGTATATACAACAGCAGCTCAACTCCTGCTCTGTTGATAGTCGTTGTAGATACCTAGTTCCTTTTCTTTTTGTGACTCTTTTCTCTTTTTTGCTACTAGTCCGGTGTATTTAAGACATTTTACAAGTTAATACACATAAGTTGTACCCGAATGTATAATTCCAATATGTAGTGAATTTATAAGGTGTAACCGGACAAAACTCGTGCGCGCCGCATCTCTTTCACAGCTGCGGATCGTGCTGTATACGTATATAGTTAATTAATAGAGAAATATACTCATAGTGCGTGTGTATGTGTGGTTAAATGTGCCCATCTGTAAATCTGTATCCAAACCTAGCCCTAACTGATTAGTGTTATAAGTGTTGCAAGTGGTGCGATGTGATGTGCGCGACGAGCGGCGAGGCTTTCACGCACCAGTAGTGTGCCAGTGATGTTATATAGTTATATAGTGTACCCCCCCCCGCTCACCGTTAGCCCGTAGTTTATACGAGAAACACGAAAATTAACGTAATAACGAGTGTATGATGCTTACCAGTGAGTAGTTATCAGTGAGTGTTTATTTTCGCGGTATACTCCTGGTGATTTGATTGACCTCATCGAAAACGAGGTACAAAAAGAGGGTATCCAATAGGAGGTACATACACACGTATGTATATATTTACACAAGTGTGCAATTTCAAGTGATATAGATACCTATACACAGGCATCGGAGAGAAAACAAGGTTGTTGTTGTAATTGTTCTTGTTTAGTTAACAGTTGTGTGTGTGTGTGTGTGAAGAGAACCAGAAGTGTCACCGTAGGGGTGAAAAGTGAGGAAAAAGATAACCTGCTGAAGAGAGAGAGAGAAAGCTCAAAGCGAGTCTGACGGCGGAACGCAAAAACGCACGAAGGTAAGATTGTTTAATCGACTTTGCACTACGAACCGTTAATAACAGCTATTTCTGTATCAAGTCGTTTTTTTTTTTCATCGGTTTAACCTCTTTTTCATTTGCCTCTCGGTACCTTGATTCGACCAAATCGAACACTCTGATCTTCATAAATTCAAACTTCGCGCCGACGACTCGTCCGTGTGCGAAGTGCAGCATGCAATGCATTTTTTTCCGGCTCAACGTTGTGTCGAAGATGAAAAAATAAAACCTCATTAAGCGTAAGTATAGTAACTCTGAAAAAGTTGACAGATATTGCAGCCAATAGTGTGTTTTGTACGCGATCAAGGGGGAAGCGGATTTTGCGTTTTCTCTTATGGAAATTGTTATTATAGTGTACATTGCTGCTCGATGCTGCTGGTGGTTCGAAAGCGTCGTGTGTTTTAATTCGCGCGTACACTTAATACAGGTTTTTCGGTTGTGCGAGGCAAGTCTTTCTCGTTCGCTCACGTCGAGGTCGCGCAGCTGTGCCTTGTTGCTCGTCGTCGTGTGTTAAACGTCTACATGTATACCTGTATACACATTCACCTATATCTACATATTTACAAAGTAGCAGTTATAGCAGAGTATATGAGAGTAGTAAGTGTCGAAGAGAGGGGCAAAACCAGACACGTATATAGACAGGTGTGTAAATGATCCATACGTATAGGTATGCAGTACGCACTTGTGTGTATTTTTTAATGCGTGTATTTATACACGTATAAACGATTATTGCGTAGGTATACATGTATGTTATATACTTGCGCGAGAGCGAGAGAGCAAATAAGTGAACGTGACGAAATAAACGTGCACACGTATATGGATTATTCCGCCGTTATTTTGCAATATTAAATATACATTGTGTACTTGATAGTGAAAATAAAGTGAATTACTCAATGAGCCCCAAAATAGGTGTTGATCTCGGTCGAATTATCACTATCCCGAACGAAACATTAATTTGTAACAAGGAACAAAATTTGAATAATCAGTATACTTTAACGTTTGGCGGAATGATCCGTATGCGCGCGTAATTATATATATATATATATATATACGTACACATGCACAATCGTGTCGCAAGCATGAGAGTAAAGCTGTGTAAGATCTCCTGGTTTAAGTACAAGAGAATGATAACGATTTAATATTTTTCTTTCCTTATATTTTTTTGTTTGTTTTTCGGGGGGACTCTCGGTAAGCTGGGCGATATGATAAAATGTGGTTTTTTTTTGTTTTTTTTTTCTTTCTCTTTTTCTGGCGCTGGAAGCGGGGGAGGAGGGCAAATGAAACACAGCTGACGACTGCTTGTGTATACATATATACTTTTGTACGGTCTTTCGGGGGATCAACAGTTGCGCGCTAAACGGACGTTTTCTCTTTTTAGCGCGCGCATAAGATTTGCGTGCATAATGTATTACAATCTCTTGGTTGATACATTCTTTGGAGTAAAATCGGCAGTTTGTATACACCATAGGATAAATGTTTCACGGGTAGATGGCTCTCGGCGAATTTCGCCAGGGAAAAATTAGATAAGCCGGTTCGTCGCGGGGATTCCGCGAATGGAATGTCTCTAACGGTACTCCTGCGCGTTACGATTAGTAAGTTGGTTTCCCGTACACACGCACACAGCACAGCTATATAGGTATAGGTGCGCGTGCGCATTTACGCACACTCACATACATGTATACGATTTTTTTCCTTCTTTTTTTTATCAGATCATCAGTTACAGTAATGGCAGTGTATAGGTAATACTTGTTCCGCAGCCTTTGAGTGCTCCTTTCTGTATTTTTTTTTTTTCCTGCACATCCTTTCCTCTTACTCTCAGAGACCCAGCGACCGACTTTCCTCAAGTGGTTACGTATTTCGTGTCTGGTATACCCTCTATCATACTGTGGTTTTTGATAAATATTTTTAGATTGTTCACGCAAACCAACAGGAAAACCTCGAGGAAAACCGCACAAACCAACACGCGTTGAAACAACAAAACGCGGAGAGGGTGGATTAAAAAAAAAAAAAAAAAAAAAAACTAAGAGCCATATACGCGATTGGACTTTTATTTTTTCTTTGGCTTCTTTAGCGCGACCTTTTGATTCATTTTGTGTGTGTGTGTGTTGCGCCTCGCGCGCGCCATGACCCAACAATCGTACATAATATACATGACGCGCGCATGCCGTCGCCGTCGTGTGCTCTGCTAACACACTTTTTTCCCCCTCAATGAAAATGACGACGATGCCTGCAGTGATGAGGCCCCAAAACGAAGAGACGCGTTGCACTTGCACATACCTTACACGCAATCGGTGAAAAATAAAGCATCGATTTATCGCGTACCCATTGGTCGGATTATCCAAAACTATGATCCACTGGCACATTGGAAAATAAAAAAAAAAACTAGACTTTTCCACCCGCATTTTCCGCATAATATATAAATCACAGGGGTGTAACAATAATTTGTATAAATAACCGATCTAGTAATAGCGCTTGCAATTACGGAGAGGACAGAAAAAAAGAAACAAAGCCGATATCCTCGCCGGCCAGACGGCCAATTAACTTATTTACTCGCTCGATATAGGTTCTCCAAAGCTCTCTTTTATGTCACACTCGATGTCGCATTGATGTGTGTGCATAATACTCCGTACGCGCGTGTTGTGCGGTGTCCCGTTCTTATTCTCCTCCTTCTCGGCAATCGCTGGTGAAAGTTAACGAAGATTTTCCTATCGCTCGCTCGCGCTCCTCCACCAAGCGCGAGTACTATCTCTCGCGCCTGCCTCTGTGCTCGCCTCTGTGCCGATGCTTTTTTCGTGGATGCTTAACCCATTCGCAGATAAGGAGCTCGTCTGAATTACATTTATTTCTCTGCATCCCAAAAGGCAAATCGGGCATTTTTTTTTTTTTCTCGTTTTATCGCGACACTCTCGGCAGTTTCAATAAAAATTAACACGAGCCTCTTTTCGTTGAGTAGCGAAGGCCGACGTTCACATGCAAGTGCCCGCATTGCGCGAATCTGTTTTTTTTTTTTTTTTTTTTTTTTTTTTTTTTTTTTTTTTTTTTTTTTTTTTTTTTTTTTTTTTTTTTTTTTCCATCACAATGTTGTTTCGCAAATGTCTGGTGTGTGTGTGTGTGTGTGTGTGCGCGCGCGCAAAGTAAATCACACGTTGCGGGCGAAATTTAAAGTGCAGCGCTACTTATCTCGTGCTTTTTCGCATTTTTCCCGCGTGTGATTCCGAGCAGCGATAATTGCAATAAAGAAATAAGAGAGTATGAGAAAGAGAACGAGGTGCAAGTGGTGGTTAATGCGAGATTATGCGTTTTTCGCGAAAAACACGATCCACAAGTGTGTAAAGAACAGACTCGCCGCGTGTGTGTGTGTACGCGTGTGATACAGAGGTCCTAAAATGTGTTTTTTTTTTTTATTTTTAACGCGAGAGAGGATTCGTACGCCGCGTATGAATATATCATTAAAACAATATAAAATTTCTTTATGCGTTTGTTAAAATGTTATTAGTCAACTGCTTTTTTTTTTTTTTTTTTAATCTCACGCACTTTTTAAAATACATGCAGTGCATGTACAAAAATTATTCAATGTCAATTTGTAAACGCACTACGTTTTGTTCGTTTTCCCTGCTCAGCTCGTATGCGTACACTGTTTGCAAGCCGTCTTGTTTACTCAATTGAAATTTTTGATTAATATTCTCAACTAAAGAAGAAGAAGAAAAAAATTGATTCATCATTTTTTAATAATCTTGTTTTCAGTGTACACACGCGCAAAGATACCGAGTATTGTTTACTCCGGTAAAGTTAATGTATACACACAATTATGCTGCAGTTAACACTTGAGAGCGAGGAGAGGGGGGAATACCTATTCATTCTCATTAAACAGCAGTAGAAGCGTAAGGGGAGTGGGGGGACTTTCAGATGGTGTTTTACACAGATTTACATTTAAATATATACGTTTTGTATAGAGCATCTCGAAAAAGGAGGGGCATTAAAAGACAGCGTGTGAGACAGAAGAAGAGGAAGAACGACGACGATGCGTTACTTGCATCTTCTTATACCGCGATGCGGCGATGTGTGTCTGTGTTGCGTCATAAAACATATTACTTATGTGATGTACGAAAGAGAGCGAACGGCTGGAAGCACCATGCCTGTAGAGATTTAAATGGAGCGCGCGCCCACGTTTGTTTTCGACGTTCGTATTTTCACGTGTGATCTAATGATTGGAATTTTTATAAATATGTATACATGGTACACTTGGGCACACAGAAAAATTCACGTTCTGCCTGAGGCTGAAAATGAAGAAATTACTATTTGCTACGAAAATAAAAATTGGAGCACTAAAAATAATAAATAAATAAAAAATTACCATACACGATTTCAGCGATAAATGTTTGTAACTCAAATAATACACGTACAGTTGTATATACTTTAATTATTGCCTTTTCCAATTGATAATTTCTCCCAACAAATGTAAAAGGTGGGGCAGAGCGGGGCAGAGAGCGCATGCTTTTATTGTTTCGTTAAAGGGAAAGTTTTTGGCTTGCCGAGCACGAGTCGCGCTTGATTGGTCGTCGCGATTGTGCATTGCAATTCACGCGCGTAAATTATCAATGCGCGAATTGTCGTTTACGTAAACTTGACTTTTTTTTTTTTTTTTTTTTTCGTGCATTAGGTGCGAAGATTACATATTATAATGAATTATCGTCGTCGTCGCATAAATTTCAAACTCGTATATTCATCGGGTTAGGCACTACATTCTCGAAATAAGCCCATTGGGAGAAGACAAAATTGATCGTCTTTGAGTTAATGTTTACGTAATTAAATCGAAACTAAAGCTTATATAAATTTTTACGTAACGTGGACGAGAAAAGAAGAAGAAGAAGAAGAGAGAGGTATAAAAATAGTCGGAAAGAACGTCATGCGAGTAAAATTTGGGAGAGAGAAAGAGTTAGCTCTCTCTCTCTCTCTCTCTCTCTCTCTCTAATCTGACTCCT